GGTGGTTTCTATGTTGATCATTTATCTCCCTCTCTTGGTCGATCTATGTGTATCGATCGCTGATTGACTAGCAAATACCGTGCGGGAACGAAATCCGTATACCCTGTTGAATTTGATTATTTATATGCATCATAACAATGTAAATATTATACATGAATACATATTCATGTTCATTCAAGCATTAGCTTGATGCTTACGTCAACAATTAAGCAGAATGTCATGCAATTACAATAAGAAAAATAAAAACCTCAACACGTGTCGGGCATTTCTGTCAATCGGTTGCGTTCTTAACGATTTTCAAAGAAAATCTCTCGGATTTACTTCAGTTTGTTAAGCGTATTTCAGTGATGTTTGCAAGTAGTTTCCTGAAGGTCGATCGGAAAGGTTAGTGTTTATTGTTTTATATCTCAATTCTAAGCAATGGATTGTTCATATGGTATTTATTTATCAAAATTAGTACTGTACGGTTTTCGATCCATATATAACAGCTGATTCTAAATCCGTACACTTGTGCATCACTAATGACGATTCTACTTTATCCAATGTTTTTCAGCAGATCATGGAAACTAAATACACGCCGGAGGATTTGGAGAAGACTGTGGCAATGATGCGTGCGGAGAAATCTTACCGAGAAGCATCCAGGGATTTTGCTGCTCCATTCACCACCATAAGAGATGCCGTAATGAATCGCTACTCTCTTATTTTATTCGTATTTTAAATGTTATATTATTAATATCTTTTAATGAAGAGCGTCAAGAACCAGCCGAAAGTAAAACAACGCAGCTCCCCTACAGGATATCACCAACACGCATATTCAAATTAGGGACCATGCATAAATGACGTAGCGTTTGAGGTGGGAGGTGAGGGTTTCAGAATTTGTGAGCGGCCATGTATTGGATATAGCCAAATACGCTACGAGGGGGGGGGGGAGGAGTATAAAATTGATCAAAAATATGCTACGTCATTGTTGGATGCTCTCTTACAGAGAGTAGACATAAATGGGCCAGAGAGCATTCCCAGCAGTAGCTACCATCGAGGAATGACCGGAAATACACATGAAAGTAGTGCGGGCGAAAATTGATAAAGAGAAACATAGGATTGAGGAACGACAAAAGAAAAAGGTTGAGCGAGAGAGGAAGAGGAGGAAGAAAAGGAAGAAGTGGCAAGAAAGTTCCCTAATAAACAAATACCATGAATGAACTATCCCACAAATGGTTTGGATGATACCCCGAACACGTCGTTAAGCTCTCTATTATGATTATTTTCATTAGAGTTGGAAGCAAGAAAGCATTATAACTTGAAAAGGCAATGGTAACCAGGGTTACTACCACTCACTTGCTATAAAAAAAATGTTTTTCAGAATTATGAAATCATGAGATGGTATAGTGATAATTAGTACTTGTAAGTTACAAGATGAGGACGTGAAGTATGTGTTTGACACATAAAATCTGTCAATATTGCTTTCAGTGCGTCACAATCAGCAATTTTATGACTCGTGAGTGCTCACTCTGAGTGAACGCTCACGAATCATAAGATCGTTTATTGTGACGCTCTGAAAGCAAAATTGGCAGGTTTTATGAGTCATACACATACTTTAAACCCTCTTCTCGTTACTTACAAGTATGTACAGCATATCATTATATCATCTAATGATTGGATAATTCCGAAAAATATGTTTTTATAGCAAGTGAGTGGAATCAACCCTGATGGTAACAATGGAGAAGAAGCAGAAGAAAGCTGTGGAAAAGAAGCAATGAAAGATCTGTATTTTTATGATTTTTACTCTCTTGACGTATTAAATTAAATTAAGTTATAGTCGTTATTTTACCTATTTTAATTTTCATGCACAAAACGAAAAACTAATCCTTGATGCCAGTTCATTGTCTTTTTTTGTTGGTTTCTAAGATGGTTGTATTTTTTTTTTTTTTACTATCCGCCATTATAGGGCTACCATCTTAGGAACCGGTTAGATTATCGCTTGATGCCAGTTGGTTGGTAGAGCGTTTCCATTTTCGTTGTATTAAAGATGTTTCGGCAGTCTTCTGTTAAGTTTGCTATTATTGATTCAAAAACATTGTCCAGGCTACACCACCCAGTTTAGTCCCGGTTAATAATGTTTTGTAGCGTTGATCTGGAGTACCCCCAAGTTCCAAAGTATGGCGCATCTTGCACGTTATCACATGTCAAATTTCAAAAACCTCGTAGTTGTGATCGGAGGAAAACTCCAGTAAGAATATTTAACCCAAAGCACTGGTATAGAATAAAATTTGGAGGAAATGAATCCTTAAACATGATATTAGGTAGCATAAAAATCCAGAACATTCACCTTCTAAAATAAAAAGAAATCAGTTACCTATCCTTTGAATCGATTGGAGCATCAATTAATCTAATGCTGATATCATTAGTTAAAAAGTAAAAGTAAAAAAAATGAACCTTTGACGAATGATTCTTATGTAAAATCGTGCGCTGAATTCAACAATGTAGTCGAAAAAAATGTAAGTAGGATAGTTTTCGAGATACAGCTAAAAATGAAAATTCATTTTAAACAAGTTTGATTACTACAATAAAAATATCTCCGGTTGTAATGAGATTATATCAATTATTTTAACGCTAAATTAGAGGTAAGAAATTCTTTCGTTCGATCAATTGAACATCAATTGTCAGTGAGATTTATGGTATTGTTGTTAGTTAATAGCTTGTTTTTTTAAGTTTTCCTAGGAAAAATTGAATTTCTGGTACGTTTTTAAGCAATGTAAATTAAAATGTTTATGGTGGTTCTACCATTACTGTCACGGAAAAATAGTTCTATAACGATCGAAATAAAATTTTATCACGTTTAATTTGGCGTTAAAAAAATTAATATCACTTCATTGCAGTCAGAGATAATTGTGTTTTAGTTTTTTTTTAAAGTGAGAATTCATTTTTTAGCTAGGGGAAGGAGGGGCATAGTGAACAGGCAGGGCATAGTGAGCATCCCGCACTTTGGCTCTGGATCTCCAACTGCATGAAACAAAGGATCAATATCATGATGATATTGATCCTACAGCCAACAATTTTGTTCTGAACGGCCGGAAGTCCAAGCTGGAGCACGCGATGCTCACTATTGCCCCACCTGTTCACTATGCCTCTCTTACCCCTATATCTCCAAAACTATATATATATATAGTAGGATATATCCTACTGAGATTTTTTTGGACTACATTTTTGGATTCAACGCATGATTTTACATGGGAAATGACCATCAGCGTACAAAGTTCACATATGCTGTAAACTAGTGTATTTAAACGGATATAGCTGTTTTGGACTCTTAGCCAAGCAACTACTTTATTCAAGATAGCAACATGTTTTTTTTTTTTTCATTGATTTGGATCGATTTACATTCATGTACGGATTTTTATTCATTACTGTACGGATTTTGATTCATCCTCAACACAGTGTACGGATTTCGATTCAAAACTGTACGGATTTTGATTCGATCGTAGAACGCTGTACGGATTTTGATTCAAGATATGTGCAATTTAAATCCTTTTTTCTAATAACTAAAGGTAATTTTAAGACCTGGTGTTTGCAAATATTGGAAAAATAAAGATAAATATAAAGGAAAAAGATGTGATACAGAGCATAATGTGATAGTATTATTTAGTATTGACCGTTAATGATTCTCTCGTGCTTAGGTGTACGGATTTCGGTCCCGCACGGTACATGATGTTTTCAAAAACCTCCAGTTTAGGCTAAGTTAAATTTGAATAATAAAATCAATCTTGCATACACCATCAACAAGTGAAGTTGAATCTTTTAATGAGAAACACAAGTGACAGATAGCAGGATACTTCACACTTTGTACAAAACCAATTCGACAGTGAGCTTGCAAATTGCATAAGGGCGTAAACACGGTGATCGATTCTCTTCGTCAATTTTCTTTTTTGTTGGTGATACTCTAAGGAAGCCTTAGCGTGAAACTTTAAAGGCACAAATGTCAGCTTCCGGTGTTCACTCGGCTGTCGACAGAAGCAGACCACTCTCAATGTATTGTAGGCGATCGCCTGTTTACTCGGCAGCAACCATTGTGTGGTCCCCCTCATTGTTCTTCATCAGCAGTTATTTCGGTCGATGCGTCGTCGACTTTGGAAAGCAACCGTTTCGTGATGAATGTGCGAGTACTGACCACGTTTTGCGTCCATTGCTGCAATGGAACCTCGTTGGCGAATCTGCCATAGAATGAAACCACTGGAAGCGGCTCCTGTTCTGATGGAGGGGGGTTATTGGACAGCGGAAGATAAAATGTTTTTGACTATAGTTTTAAGATGTATTGTATAGTGAACAAGAATCCTCGGGTCGGTAAAGTTAATTCGGTTGAGCCTTATCAAATAAATCCTCCTTGTTTGCTGTGCTACTACAAACAGAGAGCAATTTCAAACTTGTATGTTTTGTGGAAGCTGACATTTGTGCCTTTGAAGCTTCACGCTAAGGCTTCCTTAGAGTATCACCTTATAAACTAGTTATAATTAACGTTTCTCGGCGCGTTTGCTGTTGCTTTTGATAGCCAATAAAACCTGTTACAACTCTGCATTGAACAAATTCTAGAAAATTGTTTTGCTTAGCTTTAGCAATGCAAAGAGAAAATCTATGAAGAGAATCGATCATCGCATATACGCCCTTATGCAGGCTCAATGTCGAATTGTTAATCATCTATGTTTTCATGTTCAAATTATTTTCCAAGATTTTATTCTTTGAAATTAAGCTTGAAGCTGTAACCGTGAAATGTTCAAATATATTTATTCTAGAACATATTTTAATGAAAAAAAGCCAGAAAAATTCCTGAAATTACGATAACATCATGGAAATATTGTTGTCTGCCTGCTTGCATGGAAATCTCCCATAGTGCATTCGTAGATAAATTCAATTTTTTTTTTGCGGCAAATCAATAAATTCAACACCACAATTAGACTTTTCGTAAATAATTCAATCATCAAAAATATTTAAATTTTAGTTTTACTTACCCAGCAGGTCCCACTCCCCATTCGTCACGAAACTACTGATATCCCCACCCGTTTCATCTTGCAGCTGTAAATCTAGCTGTTGGGAGGACCGACCGAATGATGTCATCATTATTGTAGTGGGTGGTTACGGGAAAAGAGAAGAAAAGTTTGCTCGTTAGTAAATGCAGTATGCTGTCCATGTAGGGTGTCTTCCTGGCATAAATTTTTAGGATGTTTATTCGTCAGGGATACGAAAGTGTAGAGGGAAAGTGGGCAAAACGAATGAATGAGACGGTTGATGAACTAGTTTCCAATCGCAATACTCGAATGCACAGGAACGTAAAAGGAAGCGGAAATTTTTCGAATCTCTTTCCCAAATCATGCAAATACCCGGTGGTCTGTTGAATGAATGATTGTTTGTACATGGTGGGATGAAATTAAATCTCGTAAAATGGTCAAATGTTGGGGAGCACACAGAACGGAAAAAACACAACATCTACAGTCTAGTGTGAGAGAGAGAGAGGCTGGTGATGGCGTTGTCCAACTCCTGGAAAAATGTTGTCTTCCTGTCACATCGCGATGCTTTCCGTTTCAATCAAACACAGCTATAGGGAAAATCTCCGGGTGCGTTCGAATTCCTAATCTTAAAGTGCTTTCCGTAGAATGTTTTTATTTTGTGGGAGGGGGAGCGTTGTCAGATTTTTGTTTTGTTCTTCTTTTTTACATCGTTTATTATTTTCAGAATGGCCATGATATGAGGTCGGGATCCCGTTCGATAGTTTCTATGATGGTTTTTCGTTTGATTCTCGCTCCTTTGACAGGCTCCGAATCGCCGAAGTCTTTTTCGGAGCGCACCTGGCACGGCTGACGCAATGTAGTCCGCCACGTCCAGCGTCCAGAAGCAAAGCCGAAAAAGTCTTACGATCGTCGGGGACATTGTCGCGTGAGGTGTGAGGTTCGTTCATTTTTTGTTTGTTTACGAAGGCAATGAGAGTTGAACTATGTTTAAGGGTTGAATGAGAATCGACGAATGAAACGGAAAATAAAAGTGACGAACATGATGAAGATGATGGTAGGCTGATGAGTTGACGAGGAGGGAAAGGAGCTTTGGGTTGAAATTATTTACAAAACTAGGTGTACTAAAAGAATAAAAAACTTATCCAGTTAAGGTAGACGAAAACTGCTAAATTCTTCGGTAACCTAGAACGTCGCCTTAATGGCCTAAGCAAGATGATTGATAGTTAAGCTCTGGCAGATAATTGGTTGTTCGGTTAGCTTTTTTTTCCGTAGAAACTGTTTTAAGGATGTACGTTACAGAGGAGTCATGTAATTTCTTTTCTTATAGCATTGTCTGGAATTATTCGAAGCAAACAACTCCAATCAATGTAAAATATTTCGACTTTTGCACAATGCTATGTTATATGCTATAATGCATATGATGAACGATTGAAGCATCACCTTAAATTGATAGGCTGTTAAAACTTAATGTTTTCTGCATCAAGCATAAGCTTCCTGGATATCAGTGTTGGCAAAATCAGAAATCAATTGATATTTTTCCGCTCTCATGGGCTCGCAATATCACGCGTGATATTGGAACAAAATATCATGCTTGATATTGATTTTACAAGCTCCTTTGATATTGCGAGACTATTGACAACGTGCAAACATCAAGCTAAAAGATGACTCGACACAAAAATGATTCCATTGCACATAATTTTCTTAGAAAGAGAAAGCATAGTTTGCTATCTCTTTTTAATCTTCACCGATGGCAGACCCGAAGGGACTGCTGCAAGCCGTTTCGGTTGCATTTGGGTGTAAAGCAAAAATCATTAAACTCGATCTCACCACAGTTTGGCGAGATTTGCAGTTGGTGAGTTTTGTTAGCTTGATATTCTGAGCTGCGATAAATCAAGCGTGACCTTGGGCGTTGGTGAGATTTGATTTTTTGATATTTTCCCAACACTGCTGGATATGCTTGGGAAGTTTCAAGCAACCGCTCGTAGACATTGCCCCAAAAATGGGCATAACTTGATTCAGCATTTTTTGAATAAAGCCTTTAATTTAATTTAAAAAAAGTCTCATTTTTCAGCAAAAACTAGCCAAAACATTTCAAATAAAAGAGATAACAACTTAGTTGCTTCAGCAAAAATATGCATCATAAAAAGTTCTAAAAGTATTCAGAACAATTTTTTTACGAGCAATGAACGTATAAAAAGATATTTAAAGAAAGCCGATTTTCTAGGGACCACTCTGCCCTGCATGCTTAAAAAAATCATAACTCATAAAATCATAACCATAAGAGATATAAATTTGATGTCTTCAGCAAAGTTGCATTGGTCTATCTTAAGTAATAAAAAAGTTTGTATTTTCAATTCATAGACCAACCTAATTTCTCTGGCATAAAAAGATCGGTCAAAAATATGAAGTAAATTTTCCCGAAGACACTATATATCTAAAACTGACGGTTTGGGCGCACACATTTTTGTCTTACTGAATACGGCTTTGGGACCATTTTGCAATGGGCCAAGAATTAAATCAAGCAGGAAAAAAAATTATAACGCTCTGGGATTGCATTCAATTGAGTTGAAGTCTTGAGTGAAGTTTCTTGAATTAATTAGGACTATAATTTGATGAATGAAAATAGTTCAAGTTTGGGCGCAAAGATGGCGCAGCGATATAAGTTTTTTTTTTATTTCACAAGATAAAGGTTTGCTGTCTCCGGCAAAGTTGTAGGACGTACAATTTTATGAAAAGGTGCCGAATATATACAAGCTGTACATCTTAAAAAAAAAACTGAAATGTACCAAGTTTTAAAAAAATTGCCTTAAATTAACGTTTGTGGTATTATACTTGGATTGATCGTTCAAAAGAATACTTTTATCATTTTTCCTCGATCGGTACTGATCAATCCAATCTTTTCCAGATCAATGCTAAAATATTTAGAGTGCTCAAAAATATATATCACATGAAATTAAAAAAAATCTGGCTTAATTTTCTTAACACGCGCAAATGAACGCAAAATGCCATTAACTTTTGAAAATTTAAATCAAATACACTTTAATTCCTAAAAATATCTCAGAGGTAGTGGAATCTCCATTGACGAACCAAACTCGTTATTTGGGATTTACTTCGTAAAAAGACGTTTTTGGAGAAAAAAAAATGTCAAATACCCCACAATATAAATATTTTTGAAATTGGAGTGACGTGTAGGAACCAGAAATCCATTTCTGACACCATTTTAAAATTCAAGATAGCGGCTTCCATTTACAGAAAAACAGAAAAATACTGTCTGATACCCCACAATATGGGTATTTTTGAAATCTAAGTGACGTGTTAGAACCGGAAATCCATGCCTGGCACCATTTTGAAATCCAAGACGGCGGCTTCTGGTTAGAGAAAAACTTGGAAATTCCGTCAAATACCTCACTATATGTGTATTTTTGAAATAGGAGTGACGTGCAAAGCCTGGAAACCCATGTCTGAAGCCCTTTTTAAATTCAAGATGGTGGCTTCCGGTTACAGAAAACTGAAAAATACTGTTTAACAATCCACAATATGGGTAGTTTTTGAATCAGGGTAACGTGTAGGAACCATAAATCTATGTCTGACGATATTTTTGAATCTAAGATGGTGGCATCTGATTAAATAAAACTTGGAAATTTTGTCAAATACCCCACAATATGGGTACATTTGGAATTGGAATGACGTATAAAGACTGAAAACCCATGTCTGATGCCATTTTGAAATACAATATGGTGGCTTCTGAATGCAGAAAAACATAAACATACTGTTAAATAACCCACAATATGGGTATCTTTGGAATACGGGTTTCGTGTTAGAATCTGAAATCCATGTCTGACGCCATTTTGAAATCAAAGATGGTGGTTTGCGGTTACAGAAAAACAGAAAAATACTATGAAATACCCCTCAATATGGGTATTTTTGGAATCGGGGTGACGTGTCGGAATGAGAAATCCATATCTGAACTATGTTTTAAATCCAAGATGGTGGCATCCGGTTCTCAAAATACTGTCAAATACCCCACAATATTGGTATTTTTAGAATCGTGTTTGATACCAGTTTTAAATAAAAAAAAATTAAAATAGAGAAATACTTTCAAATTCCCACAATATGAGTATTTTTTTATAATCGGAGTGATTTGTAGGTATCAAAAATATATATCTGACGCCATTTTGAAATCCAAGATGGCGCCATCAGCCACCATCAAAACCAAAATCTAAATAGCATCAGACATGGATTTGCGGTCCCTAAATGTCACCCGATTCAAAAGTACCCATATTGTGGGTACAGAACTTCCAAGTTTTTCTGTAACCGGAGGCTGCCATCTTGGGTTAAAAAATGGCGCCAAACATCGCTGTCTGGTCCTACACTTCACACCCATTGCAAAACTACCCATTTAGTGGGGTATTTACCAGAATTTTCATGTTTTCCTGTAACTGAAAACCACCATCTTGGATGTACAAATGACGTCAGACATCGATTTTCAGTCCCTACACGTCACTCCGCTTCAAAAAATACCCATATTATGGGGTATTTAACAGAACTTCCATTATTTCTGTAACCAAAAGCCGCCATCTTGGATTTAAAAATGGCGTCAGACATAGATTTTCGTTCTCTACACGTCACTCCGATTCTAAAAATACCCATATTGTGGGGTATTTGACAGAATTTCCATGTTTTTCTGTAACCGAAAGCCACCATATTGGATTTCAAAATGGCTTCAAACATTGATGTCTGGTCCGTACACGTCACACCCATTCAAAAAATACCCAAAAAGTGAGGTATTTGACAGGATTTCAATTTTTTTTCTGTAACCGAAAACCGAAACTGGATTTCAAAATGGCGTCAAACATCGATTTCCGGTCTCCACACGTCATCCCGATTCCGAAAATACCCCTAGTGTGGGGTATTTGAAAGAATGTCCAAGTTTTTGTGTAACTGAAAACCACCATCTTGGATTTCAAAATGGCGTCAAACATCGATTTACGGTCCCTACATGTCACTCCGCTTCCAAAAATATTCATATTGAGGGGTATTTCCCTGTTTTTCTGCCGAAGACAGCAAACCTCTATCTTG